GCCCCGCGCACGGGCACCCGCAGCTGCCGCCTTCCAGCACCCGGCACCCCCGGCCCCACCGAGTTTTGGCCTTTTAAGGGCATCTTGGTCCATTCTTGTGAATAAAAGGGGTTTGGGGCCACCGATGCACCCCACCCGTGGTGGGGTGACCTCTGCGGGGCCATGGGTTGGGTCTGGGGACGTGGAGGGATGGAAGGGTCCTCTACGGGCATGGCTGGTGGCTGGTGCCACTGCAGGGTGGGCTGGTGGCCCTGTGGGACATCAGGGACTTGTCACCATGGGGGGTGACCATTGTCCCAGCTCTCAGTTGCGCTGAGGCCGGCATGGGGGCCTGTGTGCCCCAAGCTGCGGCAGACAGCGAGGGAGCAGCCTGGGTGATGCTGGGGGGGGCCAGGCCTGGTGTTGGGCACCCCCTCACCAGCACCCTGCTCAGCCCAGCGCTGGGACCCCCCGTCTCGGAGGAAGCTCCGGGGCTGGGAGGTGCATTGGGGGCTGCAGACCCAGAGCCAGCTCCAAGAGGCGGCTGGAACCCCCCTGAATCCCCACCCTTGGCATCTCCTGCTTTTTGGGGGGGTCCTGTATTTCACCCCAGTCCTGTAGGTTTGGGAAAAAGATACGAGCGGTGGCACATCTGCCTGTGGTTCTGCTCCACGGGGACCGGTGGGTTTTGCACAAAGTTTTGCTTTTCCTTTGGTGCCAAGCTGGGCTCTCAGACCCAGGCTCCTTTGGGGTGCAGGAGGTGGCTTGGGGGGTGTGTGTGTGTTTCCCCAGTTTTGGACTTTGTCTTCCCATTTAACCCCCCTTTGGCGAGGAGAAGGCTGGAGGAGGCCAGCAGGGAACCAAGGGCTTCACCAATGCATCGCGGAGGGGTGTGATCCTCGGGGCAAGGGCAGGGTTTGGGGTGGCACGGCTGGGTTAACCATCCTGACCTCCACCTCAGCACAGTGGGGGATCTCTGGGGTAAAGCTGCTTTTTTTCATGGATAACGGCCGAGCGTGGAAGCAGAGTGTCACCCCCCCCCATGGCAGAGTGGCTGCAGCTGGCGTTTGCTTGAGCCCAGCCAGGTTTCTGGCCATGATGTCCCTCCAGGGAGGGAGGACGGGGACACACGGGGCTGTGCAAAGCTGGACCCCCTGCTCTAGTGGCAATTCTCCCACCTGGGGAGACTAGCCAGGTCCCCAGGGGTCCCCATGGCTGGCTGCCAGGGTGCAGAGTCCCCTGGGTCCCCGGCCAAGGCACCGTCCCCTCTGCCATGCACTGCAGCACCAGGCCGTGCTGCCAGGGCTACAGTGCCTGGAGGGTTTGGCGACTCCTGGGGCCACTGGGACCCTGTCACCACTCCCGGAGGCCAGGGGTGGGAAGTGCCCTTGTGCCCACGCTCATGCAGTCCTGGCCAAAACGACCCATGGCCCACGTGGCTGGGGCTGGCAAAGCTCCCCAGCACAGCCGGGAGCCCCGGCGGGGGCCAGCACCCACCTCGGGCTGGGTGATGGCTCAGGGTAAGGGCACTGACCTGCCACTCCATCCCTGCTCCTGCCCGGTGGAAGGTCTCCTTCTCCCCGCACTTGCACCTCGGGCAGAGCCCATACATCCCTTCCAGCCTGGGTGGCTGCAGTGAGTCCCTGTGGCTACTGGGAATGAGCCACAGGAATGCTGGCAGGGCAGTGCCCAGCCACCGCGCTGGGCTGCTTTGCCCTGGGAAGCCCTTGGCCCCCTCCAGCCTTCGAGGATTTGGGTGGGAGGGCTATGCTGGGCTGTGCCGTCACCACCTCTGGGCTGGGCGAGGAGTCGAGGAAAGCCCTGGCACGCTGGCATCCTCCTCCAGCAAGTGCAGAGGGCACTACAGGGCTGGCACAGACCTCTACTGGTGACATCAAGCACAGGCCACCACCCCTGGGACTCCTCATCCTGCCTCAGCCGGGGAGGTGTCACCTCGGGATGGGGTCCATCATCTTCATGGCATCTTGGGGTGTTCCCCATCCCCCAGGACAGAACATCCTGGGGTGGGCTCTACCACCTGGGTTGCGTCACCTCAGGTGGGCTCAGGGCCCAGGACACAGCACCCATGGGGACTCCCCACCCTGATCATCCCAGGCAAATGTTCCCCAGGGCAACCAGCTTCCCCAGCAGTGAGGGACCTCTGTATCCCGGTGACACCCCACTGCACTCACTTCACCCTGCCCCAGTGTTGGCACAACCGTGGGCACCACTGCCATGGGGTGCAGGGGTGGCCACAGTGACACAAGGGGCTTGGGGTGCCAGAGGCACCCACAGATCTTGGCTGCTTGTGCCACCTACATCCCTGTCGCACCCCTGGTACCTCGCCTGGAGGACATTCCAGCCCTCGTGGGTGCCCCATCTCTCTCCCAAACTGTTGGCTGAGCAAAGCAAGGCAGATGTTGGACAGGTTGGCTGCTTTCTGACACCCTCTCCCATCAGCCGTCCTTGTCCCAGTGTGTAGGTGACAGCCAGCTGGGCAGGATGGCTGGGACACCTCGCTCATCCATGGCCCCCGGTGGCACAGGGTCACCAGCAGATCCCCAGGAGATGGCACCAGCCTGGGAGGGCTGCACTGTGCCCAGGGACAACACTTGGTGGGCTGCGCTCTTGCCGTGTCCCTGCCATGTCCCCCGCTGTGTCCATGCTCACCGATCCACCAGCCCCATGCAGGCACCAGTTCCTTGCACTGGGAGCACAGGCTCGCTGGGGAGCCGAAACCCCGGCCTGGCTGACGGGTCCAAGGGTGACCGAATCGCTCATAAAATTGCCCCTTCCCCAGGCGCTGCAGGAATAGCAGTGGGCCCTGGTGCCTTGGCAGGGCTCCGCCGGGCTATTTTCAGCCCGCAGGGACATTTCCCTTGTAAGCGATAGCCCAAGGAAGCCAGCGAGCTCGTGTGCCGGTGGGGGCTGGCGGAGGGGCTGGGGAGTCTCCGGCTGGGCACCCTGAGCCAGGCTGGGGTGCTGGCAGTGGCAGCAAAGCTGCGTGGCCCCATCCCGGCGCGATAGCTGAGCTGGGATCCCCCGTCCTGCTGCTGGGGGTAGGGCTGAGACCCCTGGGGCTGGGCTTGGCACGGCCTGGACATTCCCAAGGATTTGAGGATCATGTGGGACAATGGATCATCAGGCATTGAAATCCAGGTTGACAAGGCCAAGGGCTCTCCCTGTCCCGCCCAGGAATTCTTGGGATGGCCAAAGAAGAGGGGTGGGGAGTCTTCACCCAGGAAGACTGGCACATGGAGGATGTCCCTGGGGGCCACTGGGGCAGCCCTGGGGTGGGTTGGTGAAGCCTCCCATCACCGGCGGCCCGGGATCAGGACCAGCGTGACCTCTCAGGATTCCCTCCGCTGGAGGAAGGGGCTCCTCCAGCCCCAGCCATGGCACAGGGCTTCCCTCAGGTCCTTCTGCATCCCCCCAGGCTGCGGAGCCCACAAGGGACCCCCATGGGTAGATCTTCCTCCACATACCAGGTGACATCTGCCTGTGCCAAAATAGGTGCCGTTTTCTCATGTCTGCTCACTTACAGACCCAGATCTCCACCAGCCAGGGAGCGGTGGCTGCTTTACCTCCACCGCCCTGAGCTTCGTGGCTTCTGCAAGTCAGGAGTTCAGGTTTTCTTCCACATCTTTAGGGTGGGCGCCCTGTGGGGAGACAGTCAAAAAAACACCCCGCAGAAGTGATTCCCTGTTTTCCTCTCTATATTTAGCAAGCTCCAAGCCTGGTTTTAATCCCTTTGGTGCATCCTGGTGAGGTTTCTTTGCCCTTTCTTAATTAAAATATCACACAGTTCTAGCCGACTATTTATAGAAAACAAATCAATTTATATTTTTTTTCAACTAAACTTAAAATCCCCACCACAAACGAGGTCAAGTCAGTCTGACAAAGCTGTTCCCTATACCCCCGCTGGGCTCTGCATTGAGAAACTGGAAAATATTTGCTTTTTGCTGGTGCCTTGGGATCACAAAGCCTCTGGGATGGGATGCTGTGGCTGGGCGTCCTGGGCTTGGGGTGCACAGGGCTCTGGGCAGCCAACGCCATCCTCGGCCATCCTCGTGCTTGTGTCCTCTGGGCTTCTTTGGGACACTTTGGGATGCTTTCCTCTCCCAGTTGGTGAAGGTATTGGTCTGGCCAGCTCCAAACTGGTGCTGGAGCCAGGGTCCTGCCTGCCCAAGGGCTGCTGTGTGAAATGCGTAGGCAATAAAACACCAGCACTTCCTCCGCGAGGCTCTGCCGGGATAGCACAGAGCGGGAAACTGAGGCATGGCAAGAGCGGGGAGGAGATGCTGCCCTCTGCCACGCTCCGGACAAGTGCTGGGGGGGTGGGCTGCAAGGCTGGGGTGCCCAGGCCTGAGCCTGGGTGAGGGGCACAGCCCCCACTTTGGGCTCTCCTGGCCCTGCCTCCTGCCTGGGAACGGTTACTGGTTGCAAAAAGGTCAGGCTCACAGGGCTAATCCGCCTCGACTGACTTTTTCCAACAGCCAGGCTACTGGCTGGCAGCAGCATGGAGCATCGCAGTCCCCGGGCGCTGCACCCCCTCCCTGGCAGACCCCCCGATAGCTGGGGCAGGCCAGGGCTGACCCTTGCCTGGGGTAGGGTCAAGTGCCATGGGGCTGCAGCTCCTTTGGGTTCATCCACTTTCCGTGAGGCTTCGTCAGAACCAAGCAGAGCCTTCGGGCTTCGTTTGGCTTTGCCTTTCCCCGAAAAGGAAGGGAGAGGCAGGTTTGGGGTGCAAGCTCCCCCCAGAACCCCACGGGGAGGACAAAGGAAGAGCAGGACTTGTAGGGGATGGGGGATAACTCTGCGCTGCAGGGGCTGGGATCTGGGCAGGGGCAGGGGGCGTGCGAAAAGCCATCCCCGCGGCGCTGGGCATTGCCGGCCCCACGCTCGGGGCTCCTATTTCTGCTGGAGGGGGAGAGCGTCCCTCCCGGGGCCACCTGTGCCCATCTGTCCCTCCTAGCCGGCCCCTGCCCTGGCGCCGTCCTCGGGGGCTGTCCCTCCTGGAGGACCCATTTCGGCACCGGGGTGTTGCCGTCCTGTAGGGCCCCATGCAGGGATGGAGGGGAAACCGTGGCAGGGTCACATTCAGCCTCCGGCAGCCATCCCCGTCCTTCCCACATGGGATTTTCTTGGGTGCAAACCGGCTTGTGGCACGCAGAGCCCCGCCGTGAGCTCTCAATCCCCGCAGCTGTGCCCCAGGGTGCTGGCACCACTGGGGACAGGGTCCCTGGGTGGCTGACAGCCCTCCTGGCCCCTGCGATTCAGGGAGGGCAGGGACAGCACAAGCCAGGCACCCTCTGGGAGGTCAGGTCCCCAAGGGCTCCTCTCCGATGCCACCCGGCCGCTTGGCACAACGCAGAGTGTGAACAAGGGGAGCCCCGGTGTCACTTTACACCGTGGCTGTCCCCGCTCCCTCTCAGAGTCCACGGGGACCCACAGGGGGGGTCCCAGGTGCGGATGTCACCCTTGGCTGGCAGCGGGGCGAGGGGCTGGGGCCAGCGGAAGGTGCTTCGCCATCCGCACCCCACCGAGCTGCTCCTTCCGATTCCCCCGTACGGTCGCTGGCCGTATTTTTAGCCTCTGGCGGAGGCAGGGAGGGTGTTAAGCCCATAGCCTTCGGCCCATTTCGCTGCTCATCGGCCGGCCATCTGCAGATCAGCACAATTCACCTTCTGGTGGATTTGGAGACCATGTAGGGGAAACAGGAGGGAGAAGGAGGTGGAGAGGGACTTTATATAAAGACCTTGAAGGTCACAGGAAATAAAGCCCGTGACCAGCACACCAGCGGGAACATCCCACTCGGAGCGCCCAGGGAATATTTCCCTTCTCCCATGAGGGATGGCTCACGGTGGGCGCTGGGGTTGCCGTTGTGCCTGGCCACGGTGGGTGATGGCATCGGGTCCGAGGAGACACGCAGACCCCAGCCAAAGCCCTTGGGATGCACATGGTGTTCTCTGCCTGGCCCCGCTCCCTCCCCACCCGCCTTGACCCTCCCCAAATGCCCACCCAAGGAGCTGTGCTCCCCTTCCAGCCCTCCAGGTCTCCAGCTATTTTGGGGCCAAGCTGTGAATATCCCTGTCCCCATCGGCTGAGGAGACCCAGGAGACCCAGGCTGGTCTCCAGGCCCAGGCAGGGGCATGCTGGCCCCCAGCCACCTTGGGCTTTGCCAGTCAGACGTAGCCCCTTTGAGTGGCTCCTAGCAGGCTGGGCACCGCGAGGGGTCCCACGGGAAGGTGACCCTAAGGAGAGGGGTGCTCCGGGTGGGAGGGAGGCAGGTGAGAGCTGCGTGGAACCCATTTCCCTCTGGCTGGGAGCTGAATTTGGAGCCCAGAGGCACCTGCGTGCCAGCAAAGGACAGGGGAGGTCGGTGAGGGCAGAGCAAGGGTGACCTGCGCATCCGGTTTCGGCAAGGCGAGGGGCCGTGGGGATGGCGGCAGCTCCGCCGTGCCAGGCTGCACATGAGAGTGACTGGAAACCCTAGCAGGCCAAGGCGTGCCCGTCCCTCCCTGCCGCTGGCACGGCTTGTGCCCCGGCGCGAGCCCACTGCTGCCGCCTGACTCCTGGCTAACAGCACGGCCAGCCCCGGCACCGATAGAGATCCGACCGCCTGACCGGCATCCCGGGTCACGGCAACCCGGCTTGCAGTGGGCAGAGCGGCCTGAGGGCTGGCACCGCACCGACCCGGGCTCAGCTCCTGGCCACCACGGTCCGCCATGGCCCCCCAGCAAGCCCCAGCACCGTGGCTTTGCTGAGGCCCTGCCGATGCTCGGCAGGACACAGGGCCCCACAGCACGAACGCCGTGCAGGAGCCGAAGGAGAGGGGTGGCTGCCAGCCGGCTGCCCGTGCCCGACGCTGCCAGTACCCAGTGCTGCCCATGCCCGACGCTGCCCGCTCTCCTCCCTGCAGCCTGGGTGGAGGTGGCATTTTTTTCCTGGTTGGCATCTGCTTGCCAGCTGGAGTACAAAGGAATTATTTTCCTCTGAAACGCTTCCCTGGTATGCAGGCATTAGACGTTTCGGGGGATTATTTAGACTAGCAGCAACTGTTTGTAACGGAGACAGTATAGCCGGTGATCTTTTATTTTTGGCACCCGTTGACTAATGTTAAATTGCAGTTGGAGGCCTATGGAAAATACGGATGGCTTCTCCCGGGGCCACAGAACAAACTCATTGTGTTCCCGCCAGCCGCACAGCACAGCAAATGCTTTCCTAGTGAAGGGATCCTGACAATAAATAGCTCCTGAGCCCTGCTGCCGGGGCCAGGCCCTGCCTGCACCCACCTGCCTGCGGAAAGGCAGGGCCCCCCGCGCCGGGGACCCCCATGCTGGGGACCCCCACGCCCCTTCCTCCTCCTCCTCGCCCAGCCACCCTCCATGGCCGGTGGTGCCAGTGATGCTCTCCCAAGGCAGGGCTGGGGAAGGACCCTTTTAACCTGCCAAGTGCCCGCAGCCCCTCCAGCTATGCTTTTTGTTAGTCCTCTCCACCCCCCCCTCCATTTTTTAGGGCCGCTTTGCCGCCTTCCTGCAGCGCTTCATGGCGGGGGGGGCGCC